GCCCAGGCTGGTCTCAAACTCACAACGAACCTCCCCCCCCCCCCCCGCCCGTGCTGGGATAATAGGCGTGCACCACTACACCTGGCCCTCCAGGTTGCTTTCTATATGGGTGCTTTGTTCATTTCTATGGTTGGGCATGTTTCATGTTATGTGTGAACCACACATGGTTCATTCAATAGTGAAGACGCCTGGACTGATTCTAGTTTTTGTCTACCTTGTAGAAGGCAACCACAAACATTTACGTACAAATTTTCCCATGACTGTAAACCTTCATTTCTCTGGAACAAATGGCCAAATCTATCGGACCATGTGGTCATTGCATATTTAGTCTTTGAAAGAAACTGCAAAACTGCTTTCCTGATTGGCTATCCCAGTGCATATTGTCAGCAGTGATATATAAGTGACCTTCTTTTCCTGTATCCTTCATAATATTTAGTGTCACTACTATTTAAAAATTGTACTCAGTCTTGTAGATATTTAGTGAGACTTCATTTTGTTTCTAATTTGCATTTTAGTTGCATTATTTCCATAAAGTGGGGGGTGCACTACAATGTCCCAGGGTGGTGGCGTTCAGCAATGTCTTAGCTTATGTCAACATGAAGCTTAACTACCAACTACCAACAGCTTAACTTGACTTGACTTGACTTGACTTACCCCTGTTCTCCTCTCTGAAAGTTGGCAGCACAAAAGCAGGCATTTCTACTCCCCGGTCAATGTTTCTCAATCTCTGGGCGCCTTTGCAGTCCTTTCTCTTCTGCGCATGTCTGGCAGGCATCTTCCGTTCAGCTGCTGCTTTGCTCCAGGGCTTTTGGCTTCTAATTCAGTGACACTCTGATGAGCGGTTTCCAGTTATATTTCCCACCCCATTTTATTATGACTATTATTGCCCAGCTGGAAAAAAAAGCATGCAGGGAACTGTGTGATCAATACCACACAACAGCTTCCGCTGTCATTATTTTTTAACTCCTAACAGCGCTGTTTGTGTATACAGCCGACACAGTTGTTTTAATGTGTACTATAGGGCTTCAGGCTTTTAAACCCAGTTCTGTGTTCTTAACTATAATTCAGATTATTGAACATGGAACAGAATGGCTGAAATCCACACAATTTATGCTTTTCATGGCCTAGGCACTGCCAGACTTCTGAGCTTCTGTGTTTTCTAAGTGAGATTTCGATAGCTGTTAATGTTGAGCCTGCCATGGAGTTCAGCACACACAAGTAAGTCTGGAAGTATGTGGCCATGTGGATTTCTTGTCTTATGCCCATAATGTGGGAATATGCAGGCCAGTGTACAATGTAAAATTTAAAAAAAAAAAGGACCTTAGAAAGCTAGCCACTGATGAAGTTTTCCAGTATCCATCGCATTGGATTATGGACACGTGGACATGGAAGACCCACCTGAGATGCTGCCAGTGGCACGAGAGGAGAACCGGAGGGGAAAGCTGCGTGCTGCTCATTTCCCTGAAGCTTTGCTGGGGCTGGTTTTTCTGAGGCGAACTCAGCTGTTCGCCTTGGAGGAGCTCAGGTCCTCTCGGTTGCCAGGGAAAGCTGCTGTTCTTTTTGGTGAGCTTTGGCCTTCTCCTTGAGCGTGGCTTCCTGGCCCCCGTGCAGATCCCTCAGCCTGCTGGCCCAGATCCTTCATCCCTGCTGGTGCAGACTTTGTAGCTTCCGCCACTGACCTTGAGGCTTTCCTAGCTCAGGCCCTTGATATGGACTTGCATGGGACATTGCCACGGGCCCTAGGCCTCCCGCTAGAAATCTGGGGGGAAATTTCTACAGGATCTCAGCAGATCCTTTGCATCTCTAGAACCCAGAAAGTTCTCTTGTATTCTCCTGCATCTGACTTTTGGAGTCATTATTATAAAATAATCCTATAAATTGTGTGTCCTCTATTGGATCTACTTCCTTAAACCACTGATTACAGCGGGCGACTTCCCTCCAGTGTGTCTCTTCTGCTGCCTGACATCCTCAGGACTCGGCTGCATGGCACAGACATGGTCTAGACACTGAGACACTGCCCTAGGACTGCTGAAGGGTCCGCAGGACTGCAGCGAGCTTTCTTCCTGCCCCGCTATGCTCCCTAGTGCTGCTAATTTAATGTGCATGATTGAGCTCAACCTCCTTCCAGAGATTAGCATAATACTTCCTAATGCAGCTCAGCTGCTGATTCCTTCTCCAGGATGAAACCTCAGTCCTGTTCGAGAGCAGACACTGTTCTCAGCACCCAAAGTACTGGTACAAGACGGGTCGGGGGTTTGGTCTCTTAGTTCCTGGCAAAGGTCAGCGAGAGGTCAAACTTGAATTAATTTTTCACCCGAAAGAATGCAGACTAAACCTGCCAAGGATGCCCGCACAGAGCTGGGCTTCTGTGTGTCACTGAACACTTCAGAAATGAAGGTCGGTCCCATTTAGCGATACAAGACTTAGAACATAACATTAGCCTTTATGTTCAACCTCTCCAACCCCATTATTACTTAAGTATTTTCTGTACTCTGGCATGGGGTTGGCCTCTCACAAGCTCCCCTTTCAAATACAGCATTCACTTGGCAAGACCTGATCCTGGGCTGCCAAGGTGGAGCCAATACACGGTAGCTCCGAACCACATCAATTCCTTCTGTGGGAAGCACCTTCTGTGGCCTCCCTGGGCCCCATCCCTTCAAGACACTCTCAGCTCTTTGCTTTGAGAGATTTGGGACTAAGCTTCGAACACCTGGAACAGTAGGGGACTCTCCCAACCATTTCCAAACCGTAGCAACAAGTGCCCAGGGTCAAGCCAAGGAATGGGAGTGCTTGGGAGGAGTGAAGGAGATCTCATTCATTCACGCACTGCCACGACAGCCAGAACTGGCTTAAATGATACCCCTGACCATAGCCTTGGGTGTCTGTAGTTCACTTGCACCATTAGATACTCCTGTCTGTGTGCTTCACACACACACACACACACACACACACACACACACCCCTTGAGCTCAAAAATAAGAACAAATAATAACAGTAATAATAAAGCAGAAACAGTTTCTGGAGCTCCTTCATGGGCCGCTCCAGTTCTTAAGCTCTGACTTCATGGGTTCCATAGTGAGTGTGTCGCAGAACTGGTCACATCAGGGCCCCGAAGCACGGAGGCAGCCCGTCTGCTCACGGGGCCTGCTGCTGTGGCATTCTAGCCGCCTGCATACAAAATGACAGAAACGTTCTTTAAGATTGCGTTCTGGGGGTTTACTTATAATTACGCTTTCTGATGTTTCATAGGCTGTTGCTTTGTCCTGTAGGCTTGGCAAAGAGCTCCTGAAGTTCCTTCTCTTTTTTCCAGAAAGAGCTGTGTTGGCCTGCAGGTTACTGTTTCTAACTCTGGTGAGCGCACTCTGCCCTGAGTTCTGACCCTACTGTTTTTGCTTCCACTTATCCATTTATTGATTCAACAAATATTCATTGAGTAACAAAGTTGTGCTAAGAAATGTGCCGGATGCTGGGAATGCAGGATTCAGCAAGATATGTTCTTCACTTCTGTCTGTATTAGCAGGAAAGTCCATTTATCCTGATGGAAGTACTAACCGCACCACTGTTATGGGGTCAACAAAGAAAGAAAGAAAAAATTATACAGAGAAGAGAACACTGTAGCATTTCCTGTGCTGTTACGCATCTCTCCAAGCACCCGCACGAAGGCAGCGTCTGCTCTGTGCTTGGCTGATAGAGTCAGGGCCTTTCGAACTAACTCGTTCAGTTTCTGTCTACACAGAGGGTGTTTTTCATTCTTAGATGTTTCTACTGTTGCCCATATTTTAAGACAATTGAATGAAGTAGATTTGGTTTAAGAAGTAAGCGTGATATCTGCTTTAGAAACACTAAATTGTGGTAGCACATCTCTCCTGGATGACTTGCTGGGCTAAATTTAAACAGTTTGAATCCAGCCTAAAAGAACTTTTTCCCCATCACTCTCAAAGCTTCTTTGACCTCCTTGTTTCTCAAGCTGTAGATCAGAGGGTTCAGCATGGGAATCACAGTGCCGTAGAACACGGAGGCCACTTTCATGTTCTCCTGGGCCTGCTCAGAAGGAGGCTGCAAGTACATGTAACACAGGGTTCCATAGAAGATGGTGACGGCTGTGAGGTGGGAGGCGCAGGTGGAGAAGGCTTTCCTCCTTCCTGCAGCAGAAGACATCTTTAGGATGGTGGCCAGGATGCAAATGTAGGAGAAGATGACGACCGACACAGTGAACGTCAAGTTGAACCCCACGAAGACAACAATTAACATGACATTGATGTCAATGCTGGAACAAGAAAGGGCCAGAATTGGGGGAAAGTCACAGAAAAAATCATTGATGATGTTGGACTTACAGAAGGACAGAGAAACTGTGAAACCTGTGTGTACAGAGGCGTTCAGTGATCCCATGAGATACGAGGCAGCTACCAACAGCGCGCAAACCAGTTTAGACATGATGATGGGGTAGCGAAGTGGCTTACAGATGGCGACATAGCGGTCCACTGCCATAGCTGCCAGGAGGTAGCAGTCGCTGGTCGCAAATGTTGCGACAACCAATAATTGCATTATGCACCCTCCATACGATATGGATTTGTCATCTACCATGAAGTTCTGGAGCATCTTGGGAGTGATGGCAGATGTGTAGCAGATGTCAACAAAGGCCAGATGTTGCAGGAAGAAGTACATGGGGGTCTGAAGTCTGGAGTCTGTGTGGATGAGCAGGATCATACCAGTGTTGCCCACCACGGTTGTCACATAGACCCCAAGAAACACAATGAAAAGGACACACTGAATCTCGTACTGGACACCAAATCCCAGGAGGTAGAATTCAGTCACTTCGGTTGCATTTCCTCGTGTCATGATTCCCGAAAGCCTAGAAAGGACCAAGATAAGCAAGATGCTCATGGCTTCTGGAAATGACAGGATTCTTGCTTTTCATGTCATCGTTTTGGCCTGGACTTCCCTGACAAAACTGAAGGAGATTTATTATTTTCCAAATGACTTTTTCTATTTTCTTGTTAGACTATATGAAAGCTGTTTTTGAAATCTGGATTTGTTTTAAAACAGAGGATACTTCACGTGTCAGTACTGACATTAATGTGTGTTTGTGAGAGGCATAGGGCGGAAACATGCATGCCCCTGAGAAACACTTTCCCCCTTTTTAACGTGTATCTCTATTCGCATTGGGCAATGTTTAAATATGATTTGATACCTTTTCAGTATCTTATATCCTTTTCTATTCAACTATCATTTTAGTTATTCAGTCCTAGTTCAAGGTCTTGAAATTCATAGAATTAGCTATGGCTGAAAGCGTTTTCTGAGCCCTAATCACAGGCCACACATATTTGATAGCTACATAGTGTGTAACGCTGTCTGTTTAACAGTTCCAACCAAAGGGGAGCTGATAGTTGGTATGGAATTGTGCTGTTTTTAGTTATGACCTACGTTCAAAAAAACACGGTGGTAAAATGTAACGAGATCCAGCGATAGCTCATTTCAAGTCACAAGTGAGCCTGCTGTCCTCTAAGTCTGGGCGCCTCTGCACTTAGTCTGACACACAGGTGTGATGCGCTCACATGTGACTTGTCATGTGGTAGGAACCCCCCAGCTGTTCGATGCCATTTCTTGCTTCCTCATCTTCTCCCCCTGTGGCCAGCCACTAGTAAGTATCGTGGGCCCTTCCTGTGGCCCATATTGTCTTGCTGGACACCAATATGCATGTCTTTTTTGCTGAGAGCAGAGCCAGACCACATCCATGCCAGACACGCTTGTGCGTGGGCCTGACCTCACCATTTCCAATGGAGCTCCTGCAATGCCGTCTCTCCCCTCCCTAACTCTGTGCACACAAGTCCTGTGGTTTCTGCTTCTCTCTTCCCCATTGGATATTGCTGTTCAGGGAGACTTTGGGAGTCACATTTTAGGGCTGCTAGACACAATTCATATGGGGCACCAAGCTACCATGAGAATTTCAGACACACAGCATACTTTTTGGTAGAACTGAGTTGTATAAATTGCCGGGAAAATATTAAAGTAAGAATCTGTTTACTGTTTATTTGGCATTCAAATTCCACTGGGGTCCTGCCTTTTAATTCATGCTGTCCACTGACCGTTGCCTGCTGCAGTCCACTGGGGTCTGGGTGGGCTCAGAATGACCGTGTGGAGGAGATCACCTATCTTAGCCGGTGCCCCGTCTGTAGGAGAACAGTAGAGCCTTGGCCATTTACACAGGAGAAGGGGATGCGCATAGCTCTGGACTTTGCAGCTGGGAAGTCCCGATGCAGCCGCTGTGCTGTGGGCCCCCTCCTTGCTTTGTGTCCTGGAGGTGGAGGCGGAAGGCAAGCATGAAGGCTCTGAGGTAGCCTGTGCTTTGCCACAGTGACAGGAATCAAACAAGGATGGCATAGCCCCTATGTCCCGTCACCTCTTCTTAGGCCTCCCCTCTCAGTGCTACTGTGCTGGGGTCCCATGTTTAGCTCAGTACCTTCAGGTCACGTGCTCCATCCTCCCTCCACCCCACCTACATGCTTTGTCTACCAGGCTGTGTGCTTTTGAGATTTTCTATTATTAAGTATAATTGAGATATAGGCACTTAAAAAATAGTATTACTTTAAAGAATTAATATTTCTGTTATAACACAATGAATTGCTATTTAATTAAAGGCATAAGTGAATGAAAGAATAACAACTGTACAGGTTTCTACCTTGAAAGGCAATTGCTGAGTGACAACTCGCTGGTCAGACCCAGGAAGACCAGGCAGTGAGCGGCAATGGGCAACGCGTGAAATCAGGACACTTATCCTCCAGGGCTCTCCGAATGCTGCCGCGGGCAGGCACGCTGAGAAGCCCCACGGGAGTGCTAGCATGTGGGTGGGTGAGGGCTGTCTAAGGCGCAACTGCAGGCTATAACTTAGGCTATCATTTATAGGCAAGAAGCTTATTAAGACTCCGGAGGGGGGCTGGAGAG